TGTCAACAAGATCTATGTTATCACACGAATGGACGAAACTTTCATGGTTAAAAAGACAAAACCGAGACTCTGAATAGAATCAATAGCCAAAATGGGCATAAGGTCTCCTGAGGTTAACAGGAAATCGAGTTGGTCTTCTGTGCCGTTTTTCGGATTGATGGCCTTCAACGTCGCGGTACTTTTCGGCTGCAGCTTTGAACCATTCCACATTCTGAGGCAATCCTGCGTCCTGTCACATGTCATTCCCACACAGTGCTTCTCAGGTAGAATGTTGACAGTAGCCCTTGAGTCCAGTTGGAAGCGCACCGGTCGTCCTCGAATCAAAAGCGTCGCGAAAACACACATGCGTTCTCCACAGTTTTCCAAGTTGCTTATCGAAAATTCTTGTAACTGTTCCTTGACGCTCTTGACTATTAGACTGGCTTTAGCGGATCTGCAACAGCGAGCAAAATGGTTCTTCTTGGAACATTTTGTGCACGTTCGACCCCAAGCTAGGCAACTCTTTTTTCTTCTTGAATGTACGCGACCGCAAAACTGACAAGTCGGGTGTCTTCTGCGGACTATTTCTGGTTCGGGATACCGCGCACAGATCGGTTCTCACATGCGCGAACTGCTGCGCCGTCCTTGCTTCACTCAAGCAGACGTCCACACATTGTTCCAAAGACAGGTTCCTTTGTCTCAGAAGGCGCCGAGTGAGCTCATCATTCTTTATGGCAATGACAATACGATCACGTATCAAGGAGTCTCGCATGCAATTGCAGAAGTTGCATTTACGCGCCAACAGTTTCAGTTCTGTTACGTAAGTCTCGAATGATTCGCTTGGGGATCGATCGCGAACAAAAGAAAAATATCTCTGATACGTTTCATTTATCTATCCTTCGCAAAACGCCCCGGATCTTCTCAGCACTTCCGGAAGTTCGACTTCCTCACCTGCCTCGCTGAGCTCCAATGTTTCGAGCACCCTCCTGGCTTCATCCCCCACAGCGTGACTAAACATCGTCAACTGGTACGCCATTGGTTGAGTATCCAACTGGGTCAGGGTGACGAAATCCATCCACTCCGCCTTCCACATCCTCCAGTTCTCTGGCAGCATACTTTCAGTCATCTGCAGAGCGGTCGGCAGTGTGATCGACGGCTGTCAACCAAAAAGGAGCGGGTTCCGGCGCGTCGGCTTCTTCTCTGCCCCAATGTCGTGTTGCACTCCGGGAAGCAAGAAGACTGCACCGCGATCACGAAGTCGTTTATTAAGATTACGCTCGAATATTTATGGAGTACATACACTATTTACAACAGTCCGGTTCAATGGCTCATCCCTGTTATTTGCATTGTGCCGATGGCTCCTTTTCCATTGGTTTATGCTTGCTCGCCAAGTTCACTCTGCCTAAAATCACCTGGACTTTCTTAGTGGATGTACGAATGGCGGGATTGGGCCGCGCGCTTCTTCCCTCGGTCCAATGACACAAGCCTTGGCTCAAGGGTGCACGAGTATGCGCTCCTTCGCCTGCTGGCGTCTGATTGGTCACTTGCACGTGCAGTGGGTGGTTGCAGACTGGACGCGATCACGGGCCAACTATTCTCTGATTGACTGACCAATCTGCTTCCGGCAACATGTTCATTCTCTATCAGTCTGGCCTGTGACATTCGATCGGCATTACAGCATTTCCAATCACCAGTATTTGCAGCCCCCCTCACAGTTTTATTGCACGTGGATGAAGAACAGCGCTTTGATTAAGCCAAAACAGGAGTCTTAGCATAAGGTGAAACAAGAAAAGAAAGAGAATTGTTTGGAAGCTTAATTCTCAGCGGAGAACTCAATTAACACACGTGTTGACATCGATGTAATTTACCAAGCACTGACTTGCCGAACAAACTCCTCGTGGTACCAGCTGGGTGGTTCGAGATTTTCCCTTTCCGGCAAATGGTTCGGCGGCAGTGTTCCAGGACGTGGTGGGTTTTCGTCTGGCAAGCGTTCTCCCTATAAAAAGCCACATATGTCCGTTTAACAATACTGTGACGTGGCGCACGTGACTCGTCACTAAATAAAGTCACTGCCCCTTGCTTCATCCTGGCGAAGCATTGTATTCCAGCAAGTTTATGCTGTAGCTCCGGGGAGCATCGGGCCCCTGTTTGACAAAGGAACAAACGAAAGGCGTATGAACTGAGCAATCAGTCACCAGCTCCCAATGGGCGCGAATCCCTGAATTCGTTCCGCTGCCTTGCGGACAGACAATACAGCCAAAGGCTCGGGGTGGTGTCCCCTAAGTCAACACCCTACTTCGGCTTAGGCAACCGGGTAATATCTCGCCCTCTGACGAAACCATGGACATTGTTGTGTTGTGTTTTCTTTTCCTATTTTTGTACCTTCGTTTGAATCACATGGTTTTTGATGGCATTATGTCTATTCGTAGACCTCTGCATATATATATATATATATATATATATATATATATATATATATATATATATATATTGCCCCATGCTGAGGCTGATGTTGCATTCTTGATGCTTCTTCACCGCAGTTGGGCTAAACCAACTTACACTAGGTCTTTTTAAGCTGGATAAAGTTCATTCCGCTTTATTTGGTTTGTTCTGCCTCCCTGAATAATGTTCTATTAACTGGCCACGTTGCTTACACTAATTGCGCTTATCTTCGGTAATTTTGTTGCGTTTGTAGCATTTTAAGTAACTTGTGGACATTTCTTACTTATCACCGATTTCTTGCTAACCAAATTACTTCATATGGTAATTTGGCGAAGAGTTATGCCACCGTATCTGTATGCATAATTGGATTCATTTTATTTCAGCTTGTCGTTTAAAGTGAATGGCTGTTGTTTGATATCCTTGGCATGGTTGCGCTTGATGTGTACGTTGACAAGGTGCCTACCTGTCTATTACCCACTACATCGTTCATACTGGCTCCAGGAGACAGTTGGTCGTTGCTGGAGGGGACGGGGTGCACGGTTCTTGTGACCGTGCTAGGCTCAAAGAGCGGTTCCATGCACTCAGTGTGGAGCGGACTACGGTCCAGCCACCGCCTTGTGTGCGCTGGATTCCCAAATACAGTGTGCTTGTGTTTGCCTGTGAAGGAGTGTGGGCCGGCTCCGTTGATGAAACGTGGTTCCCATCCGCATGCCTCCCGGTCTTATTCCTTCGGGTTTACACTGGATATGGGGTATGTGGTTGGAGCTGTGGGTGGTGCAGCGCAAGCCATCCATGGTCCCTCTGTAGGCGCAGGCGTCCTGTGGCTTGCCACAGTGACAGGCAAATCCGAAACCGGATGCCACCAACCATATATATATATATATGTATATATATATATATATATATATACATATATATATATATATATAATGTATATAAAGAAATAGGAAAGATTCGGTCGTAGGGTTTAAGGCAGAATAATTCGGACGCAAAATTCAGCCATAGGGAAGTGGATAGAGATCACGGGATGGAAACCAAGGCTGCCACGTTCAAGTCACCTACAAGTCAATCACGGATCGAAGATTCGTCCAGTATGATTGCACGCCGCATCTCACTGCATTGAGGATACCACTTCGCATGGTGGTGAAACGTTTGCAACCAAACCGCCAAGCTCGTAAAACAAATTAACAATTGTACCCGTGGCGTTATTTGAGCGTGCTGGGGTGCATTTTATTGAACCAAGTAAGGAGTGTGGTAACGGAGCTCGACTGACTTAGTAGTGCTTCGAATGGTTCCTTAACAAAATCCACACTCGCAACATGATTAAAAGGTTTGTTTGTTCTTAAAGTGCAGCGTCAAAGGCTACGTAGGATGTGTTAACCAGTATGTAAACAAAAGCTGACGAGACAAGCAGGAATCATTCAGTTAACCGTCCGTAGTTTTCTATTGTGTAAACTAAAACGTTTGTCCTAAGGAACAAATGCAATTGAGTTGGAGTTTCTTCCTGGAAATCCAGCGATAAGTAGGCACCGATAAAAACGGATCGAGTAATGATATAATTAGCTCTAAAGCCAGGAAGTCACCTGAAGGAAGTGGGTACCTTGGCAGATTAACTTGCCTAAAACTAGTAACCAGTCGATAAATACGACCATTGTGTAACCGTAACAACACTCTTGTTTGTACAACCAGCGTGAAGGCCACATATAAAGCCTTGCTGCGGATCAGAAATTCGCCAGTGTTTAAATGAACATTCACCCAGATTTACCAAAACAAAAGCTGAGTCTAGTGTAGATGATAGCAAACATCGCACTATATTCTGACACAAATACCCGCAAAAAACTAGTTCACGCGTGCAAAACACAATGGCCAAAGTAGCTCTCCAGTTAGGATGGATACCATTTTGGGCCCAGATATAGGAATATTATGTTAAAAAAACAACACTGTGCGAACGGGGCAAGTTATGCAACGTAACATTGCGGAAAGTCAAAACAGCTGGAAGCTGGTAAAGTACATGAAACACTACCAGGTCACCACATGAGGTAAGCACATCTATTTTATAACGTTACATGGGGAGTATTACGAAACAGAAAAGGAGTCCATAGGTTGGTCTCTCGCTAAGAAAGTAACCAGAAGATTGACGGAGGATGGATTTATTTCAAATGCAAATGAACACGCATGTGTGCTATGAAATTACCATGCCTCAAAAAACCGACGAAGGCGAAAAGCTTAATAACTAAATTAAAAACGAGAGTAATACAATGAAACACGAAGGTTATCCAAACACAGAACTTTATTCGGCCAACTGCACAAGCACTAAACTTGGAAGGTGAGTAGGCAGTATTTGACCTGTTTCATAAATAACGAAGTAAGATCTTGTGTGAAATAAAGACGCCGATCAACGAGATGCAGTTGCAAACTATTTCACCGTGATGACCGACAATTGCAGGGAAGAATGCCTTACTATTTGAAGGTCCGAAGCAAACACTAGGCATGGAACATGTGATCCAATGACGCCGATTACGATGGAGAACATGTGTGCCACAAAAGTTAGCAGTGATAATAGAGTACACCCAACTCACGCCGTGTAACCTGCCTCATATAAAAATTGTGGAACTTGTGTTGTCTTCCCACATCCGGTAGCACCACACAAGATGATGCAATCGTTTTCGGTTATTGCTTCAATTATAGTGGCTTCTTCAGAAATAATGGGGAGAGTAAGGCGAGCGGCAATGGTTTCAGGTGTCCTCGAAACCAAGACAAATCGAGCAGGGTTTGAAGCTAAGCTGCAAAAATTTGATTAATTTAAAGTGTATTACGGTTTCGATACATCAGGAGCTAACGTTTCGCAGACATTCACAGGGCCTGGTAGATCAGCAGGACCCTCGGTAGTAACAGACTGCTGTTGTTGCCCTATAGGAGCCTCACTGGACCGAAGATCGTCCTCGTCGGTACTGTACTCGTCCGTGCTCTTGGAGACATCTGAATGCTCAGGGCTGACGTTCTTCCATGCCTTTCCTTTGACAGGATGCTGAGAGGAGCTAACGTGATGCGCACCACAGTAATGGAAGACCATACCTTGTCCTTAGCTTCGGTTGTTTTCTCGTGCGATGGAATATCGGTAGAACAGAGATCTTTGGTTCAGAGGTCAGCTTTGAACTCAAACTTGCAAGCTCCTGCCAGAGCTCTAACCTCTAGATAATAGGTAAGTAAATGTATGCCAGAACCGTTAATTTCTTCTCCTTTTGTGCTAGTTTCCGTTCCAACTCTTTCCGTTTCTTTTTTGACAAGATTTTGCATTGTACACTCTCCTTGCGTTTGAGATTTCTCTCTCCCTTATGCTTGGGAGTGCGGCCGAGGACGACCAATGGATTAGAAGGGTCATATTGCTTTGGGTCGTAATTGAAGTCAATCTTCAAAAATGTAAGCGCCGGAACATAAGAATTACTAAGTGTGCGTCCGGTTTGTCCATAATAGTATCAAAATAATGACGGCGTAAATTCAAAAGGACCGTGAATGATCACCAAAAGCCGAAGTGGACAAATGGCTTCCAAAACAGTCCACCAAAATGTAAATGTGTCAGAATGAATGGGATCCCAATTGCACTGATTGCCGATCTGAGTGAATTTAATAGCTCTGAAACAGAAAATAGCAAGGGATAAAATGCCGTCAAGTGAAAGACTGCAGCAGAAGGAACGGTAAAGTGTTGATGAATCGAGCATTCGCTATTGCATAAAAAGCAGTTTCCAAGTAGTAGCTAGGAACTAAATCATTCAGTGCGGCGTCCCAATACATGGAATCAGGGCTGCCCTACAAAGGACGAAATAAGTTAGGGGATGTCGGACGAACATAACTCCCGTAATAATTTCTTGGTTATAAATCTTCCTTATTAATGATACGATGAAGTGCATCGTACAGGAGATACAAATCAAGAGTACAGAGAAATTTAGCGGTGCTCATGCGCTTGAAAATCATTAGCAATATTTGCTGTGCTCCCAGTGCGAAATGCTATACTTCGTTAGTAGATATCGGAGAAAAATCTGGAGTGCCACCACCATAGTACCCTAATAGTGCATGTCTCATTACTTTATCCTATACAGTTGATAGGGGTGAAAAACATTCCAACTATTGTGTCGTAATACAACGCAATCGGGTGATGGTAAAAAGAGAAAAAAGCAGCAACAAAAGCAAAACAAAAAGCCTGTTATGTTTTAGATATAGGATGGTGCTTGCCTGAAAACAATGCACTCCACGACGCGTTTCTATCGCATCAGGTAAAGATAGCAGGTATCGAACCCGAGATCATTGTGCAGGCGGGCAACATCCAACATCTACATGCTTGGGCAGTTACGGCCCCAGTGATCGATTTGACAAAGATTCACTTTAATGCGAAACGAGGTGCACACTGAGATCGCGCATCACATTCCATTCACACGTGTGCTTCAAAAGCAATCATCTGTTTAAAAATACACGACCAACTAAAAGTCGTTCAAGATTCCAGCTATACGGTGTTTTTTTAATGTTAGAAGGGTTGCCCCTAAACGAATCCATTCCCTTTGTTGTAACTTACGTTCATTGAATATAACCATAAGTTCCTCAACAGCAGTTCGTCAATGATCCTATCTCGGACGGTGATGCTCTTTCCTTTCCACTTTTCTACGTTCAATCTCTCCGTACTTTTCCACCCGAAGATATATCTTCCATCAGCGCTTGTCTTCTCACCTTCCGTGTGTTGACATGGTGGTTGTTTGACGGATACCAAGAACAACACTGGCGACGGAGTTCTGAAACGGATCCAATTATGTTAATTGCAACTGAGGATTTGTAAGCAATCCTACAGCTACAACAAACGCAGTTCGAACAATCTCAATTGCGACTTAGTCAGTCCTTCTCTCTTCAACCAAAAGTTCCATCAACAGTAACAATTCAGTATCCTCAGCCGATGCCATTGCAGCTTTTATCTCAGAGTTTCACTACGAGCAAACATCCGGGCTCACTTTTGATTCGTGGTACAAGCGCTGGAAGGATACATTGAAGAATGAGTTTACGAATAACGATGACTCGTGGAAATCCCCACTCTTAATCCGAAAACTAAGAACCGACGAGCACCATCGTTTCATGAAGCTCATTTTTCCCAAGCAACCCAAAGATCTCGATTTTGTGCACACAGTTGGCGAAGCGTGATGCAGACGATTACGTCACATATGCTGGTATCGTAAACCGGAAGAGCTAAAAGTTTCAATTGCAGACACGTACCAAGTCAGTTTAAATGTTTGATTTTTATTTCTGGTCTTCATTCTCCTCAAACGTCGGACGTCCGCACTTGACTGCTTTCCAAAACTTGAACACCAACCGGATATCACTGTTGAAGCTCTCACCACTGAATGTCAACATATGCTCAGTCTTAAGCACGATACCGCCATGGTGCAAGAATCACGAGCACCAGCTTCAAACAGCGTCTATGCATTGACACGAACAACTGTCCAGGCCAACAAGAAGCCACCAACTCCCAGTTGGCCGTGTTGCGAAGGGCACTACGCAAGCTTTTGTGCTTCCATTAAACATCAGTGCCAGCAACGTCAACGACGGGGCTACAAATAAGGTTTCTGTAGTTCCATAAACGTTAAGAAATCAAGCATGCAAAAGAGCGTCCACAGTTCCGCGAGAAAAAGGTCTAGAAGGCAATCATACAGAAAACGCCCACAGCCTAATTCTGTTTTTGCAACCTTGAAAGTCGATTTCGCACCTAGCAAGTACTTATCAGTTCCCGTCAAGGATTTACCAGTCCGCCTTCAGATTGACACAGCTTCGGACATTGATGTCACGTTCCACCTGCATTGTCAGTCACTAACCATCATACACAGAATGCATCCGGTAGTACATTACTGTTGACTGGAGAACTAATCTGTGATGTGTTTTTCAACAATGCGCAGTTATCACGAACATGTTATATCATCGACCATCCAAGTCTAAGCTTACTTGAAGTTGATCGGATTAGAAAATTTGGACCCCTCGATGTCCCGCTTTTACCCCTATGCAAAAGCACACAGTTGACCTCAACTCGCCAGATCGTAGAGCAAAATACATATGGGCTCAGATGGGATGGGGCTAAACCGGAATTTATCGAAGTCTTGCTGAGTTACACGTCAACGCAAAATAGATACCCACAAGCAGAAGCGTTCCGTGTGTTGACATTGTGGTTGTTTGGGGGCCACAAAGAACATAACAGATAAAGTTCATCAATTATCGCGTCCGTGTGACAATAACCACAACCTGAAGGGTACAGTTTACAATTCAGTCGATCCGCTTCTGTTCGGAACCCTCGATCAGCTCAAAGACTGGCATGCATCAACATGCACACTTTGTTACAAATCGTTCGACAAGCAGTACTTGCCCGAAAACTATAAATTCTATCGATCGGAGACATGGTGCCCACCAGCCTCGGACCAATGGTGGACGCAAACACATCACGCGGCGGTCAGTTATCGCTACAGAGATTGCGTCCGTTCCGTTTGCAGCATAGACGTGGATCCCACCACACACTTGTATGTGGGGATCTCGGGGCGCATTTCGGCGTATGTCTGTGCAGAAGCTGTGGGCGCACAGGTATTCATCAACTAGTGGAGCCAGATGTTATGAATGCGAAGCAAAATACGCTGGCATCCGGGCTGACTGAACACCCACTGGACACACATTGGCCAGGTATGTCTTTATGCGGCAAATCAAATTGCCACTCTGGACATTAAGCCTCCATTTAGTCACCGCAACTTCTAGGTGCTCGTCGTTGTGCTCCGATTGTAAGAGAACACAATGGGACTCGCACAGGTCTCAGGACGAAACTGAGTGCTAACATGAAGGAAGACCGCAAAGCCTGGTAGTCTCATCATATGTCGGAGATGGAAATCAAGGTGTTGTTGTCCATCATATTTGGAAGGCCATCCCTAGCTCGCGTATTACTACAGTGGGAAGAACATGCTGGGTTCCGCCCTGGTCGCGGCCGCCAGATCCTCGAACTCTGCCATGTGTACCAAAGACCAACAATTGTTGTGATTCTGGATATCCATGCTACCTTCGATGCTCCGACTGCATTGTGGCACTGTCTATTAAGGAATGGCATCCTCGGGAAGTTCGTTTCCCTACTGAGTGCTATGCGCAGTTTGGCGTCGAGTAGGGTTAGAGCCCATGGCAAGCTTTCGCTTACCTTCGACAAGGATACCCTGTCTCCCCAATGCTCTTCAATTTGCCATTGATGATGTCCACAAAAATGCTCTGGAAGCTTCGCTGAGCGCTGGCGTTGAGCTTCTCCCAGGTAACCGAGTTGTTGACTTAGACTGCGCTGATGATATCGTTGTGCTAGGTGACGTATAAAGGACGTCCAACTTGCACTTGACGGTTTGGCGATTGAAGCGTCAAAGTATGAAATGGCTCTTTCCCCATCAAAGTGCAATGTTATTTTTCAACTTCCAGATGCCTGCACTTACACTCTCTCTTAGTGGTAAGACAGCAGAGGTTATAGAGCGTTTTGTCAATCTGGGAAGCTGCACCACTGCCGGTGGAGCTGTTGGAGACAGGATTTCAATACGTATCACAAGAGCTCGTCTCGCTTTCTCTGGGCTTAAACACTTGTGGTGCCTCCATAACATCCGTCTTTCCATCAAAGGGCGGGTTTATTTTGTCTGTCCGCGCTGTACTATTGTACGCTCGCAAGACGGCCTATTCGTAACGCTGACTCGCACCGCCTGTCTGTCTTCGAGCACCGTTGCTTGCGTCGTTCCCAGTTACTAGTTAGGAATAGAGCAGGCGGCGCGGTGAACAATCTACTACTTAAAGAAGCAGTATGAAAAAGCTAACGAAGCAATTGACCTTGGTCGGTTGCTCTCGACTCCCAGGTTGGGATTGCAGAGATACAGTGTCGCTGATTTGAGAAGCTGAAGTCGGCTCAAGACGGACGTCAATGGTGGACATGTATCACTGCGTGTTGCGGTGGTTTCCCATCCCTGATAAGCAAAGGGGTGGCCAAGAGGAATAAAATCCCTCACTTCAAAGTTTGCATCCGTTGGTGTATCCCGATTGCCTGGCTAGGGTCCGAGGGACGTTGGGTTGAATACACTGGTTGACAGCAAGGTGCCTACCTTAATGGCTTTTGTGTTGTGTTACTTTGTTCCTCTCCATTCCGCTTATCATTCCCCTTCAACCTCGATCTCCCTCTTGACGCATAAGATGTCAGTAGGTAGTTTGTCACCTGTTTTTTATCGTCCTATACTTTTCAGTACCTTGCTTTGTTCGTTTGTGTTTATATATATATATATATATATATATATATATATATATAATCAACATTCCAAGGAGTGGAGATGGAGCCATCAGACAAACACCTATCAAAGCAAGGTGCGATTAGAAACGAGGGGAATAAAAGTGAAGTCGAAACGCGACGAAAGGTCGACAAAGCTCAAGGGGGAATAAAATGGCGGGTGGGTTTGCGCAGTAGCATCAAAATTCCTACCTACTCAGCTCAATGCAGCAGATAGGGAGACGTTGATTATCCCCTGCGATGGCTAGAGCCTCAAGAAATCATGTAGAGAGATTGACTGTGTTGTATTGCGTGGGAAGAATACCGTCTGGCCGCAAAAACCTAG